ATGCTTTATATATAAATTATTTCGTCTAGGAAGAATATTAGAAACTCATCATGACAATTATAATTCTGTATTTATTGATACCAACGATAAAACAGCAAAAAGGGTTATCTTCCATTTAATTCCACTTAATTAATTTTGGTATCCATGACAGATACGTATTTCGACTACAATGTGCAGTCTTCATTAGTGTCATTCCCACTAAAGAACTTATCAAAATCTAACCCCCTTAAGTACTCATTCCTAGGTAAAAAAAAACTCAAGATCACAGGTATAAAAATGAAACTACAATGTGTTGAATCGGAACCTACCTAACTTATAAAAACCAAAGATTTAAGTAAACTAAAGGAGAAAAATCTATACAACTCTTTAATAAGGAAAATCCCAAAGGCTTGGTAGCCATCATAAGTGTTGGGAAAATATCAAAAAATCAAATCTCACCAACGCCTCAAGATCACGCTCGATTTTCGTAGACAAAAATCAACAAGCAAACTACTGTGGTTGATTTTGCAAGCTGTGATATCGCAGCTCGAAACATCAAGCTAACAAAACTCACCAACTGCAAATCTCACCAAACTGTGGTGAGATTGAGTTTAATGATTTTTTCTTTACTCCCGAATGCAATCGAAACTTCCATAACGGCTTGGAGCAGTCCCTTCGCGTCTGCCATCGGTGAAGATTATAAAGAGATAGCAAACTATGCTTTCTCTTTCTAAAAAACGATGGGCAATGGAATCATTTTTGTGTTGAGTCAACTCTCAGCTTGATTTTTGCGCGTTGTGAATAGTCTCGCAATATCAAAGGAGCTTGTAAAATCAATATCAAGCATGATATTTTGTTCCAATATCACGCGTGATATTGCGAGCGCATGAGAGCGGAAAAATATCAATTGATTTCTGATTTTGCCAACACTGGCCATCATAATGAAGTAATGAAATTGGGTTGTTAGCGGAATGCTTAAATAAAACAGCAAAAAGGGTTATCTTCCATCCCTTTTTGCTGTTTTATTTACGCATTCCGCTAACAACCCAACTTCATTACTTCATGATACCAACGAATTATTTATATTAGAGTTGCATGCCTCACCAACTAGCTGAGCTTTCGTCATCCAGACTTTTACGTAGCTGCTTCACTTCTAAAAACCTCACTGCACAACAATCGCCTGTTAACAATGTGCGCCATTTTGAACTTAGGAAAAATTGATATCAGAGCCATTTACCCAGAATCTGGGTAGATGCCACTCATCGGAGCAAAACCAGTTTACTAACATTCAAAGTGTTTTTACGTTACTTCATACGCGAAGTTAGCGATTTTCAGAATTGGTTGGAAATGCTAACATGAAGCTTTAGTGTGATAATTTATTAGCTAGAGAATGATCTTTTGAAGAGGGTAGGTGGATAGTTCCGTTAGAGTACGGCAGTATGAAAATTGAATAGATGTTGAAAATGAGCGAAGGGCCATTAATGCGACAGTTTTTAAAGTCAGACGCACATCTTTTGCCTAACCCGTACGATGTACGCGGAGACTTGAAGTATGTCTTCAAGTCTACAGGCAAAAAGTGTGCGTCCTCCTTTTGCTCATAAACTGACTGCGGCTGTGGAATAGTTCTAGCGACGCGAAGGGGAATTATTGACAATAATATTGATGATGTGAATTCAGAAATATTGTCAATCTCAATGTATTGACGTCAATATAGAATGTATTGACAATACGATTATTGTCAATAAAAGCAATCGTGTAGGGTCCACTTAAAGCCCCTCGTTGCGAGAGCATTTCCAGTGGACGGTGTGTTATAACGCATTTCTTCTTTACCCAACTATTGTGTTGCTCCTCTCGTCATGACCAACTTGGTCATCTCAGGCAGTAGGGTGGTTGTTGCGTGCTGTACCATCATCAGCATTGTTGACGGCTACTCCCGCCTTGAGTTGTTACATTCAAAGTGTTTATATGTTACTTCATACGCGAAGTTAGCGATTTTCAGAGTTATTTGTGGAACATGCATGATTTTACATACCGTGCGATATAGTAGTTTCAAATATATCATTTCTAGTCATAATCCAGAATTTACGGAACCAGATAATGTAAGCCTTGAAACAGAGGCCAATGTGTCAATATGACAATGAAATTATCTGAAATAATCGTTCATGCCCATATCCTATGATTTGATATGCAGTATGATTAATTTGCTTCAAATATGAATTTGGCCTAAAGAACCGGATTATAAGATCCCCCCTTACCGTATCGTATTGCGGAATCTATGAAATGAATTTCCGGAATCCCGCAACCGATGCCAATGTGACCATATGCCAAAGGAATAACCACAAATAATCTTTATTGACCTTATCTTATTATGATTTGTTATGCAACATGATTATTATACCGTGAATGTTACTGTGTGGTATTAAGCCGGATTCCACGGATTTCCCGGAACCGATGCCAATGTGTCCATATGTCATCAGATACAACCTGATTTCAGTGATCATAGCTTGTCATTTTGGCATAATATGATATCATAACCTCAATGAAATTATATTCCAACAAACCGTTCGCCGGAATTCATAGATCCGCGTTCCGGAACCGATGCCAAACTGGCCAAAATCATCTCAAATCATCTTCATTCACTTGATTCTACCTATTTGACATGATTTGGCATGCCACAAGATACTTTTGCCTGAGATATTACCATATTACTGATATTACTATGTCCTACAGAATCGATTTCCGGGACTACGGGTACCGATAATATCGTAGCCATTCGTTATGGAAATATCTAAATTCAGTCTTACTAATCACTATCTTACTATCTGATATCATTTTCTGCACCAGACAACCGATTCGCGTGAAAATTTAAAACATTTGGTCAAACTGGTTAAAAAAGTATAAAAAAAAACACAGACATATTTATATGTCCCAAGAATGAGGCATTGCAGAGAACGAGTTTGTTGAAAAAAATTCGTTCATCCTGGTACTTTACGGGTTAAACTGCTTCTCCTTTTCAACAGTTTTTTGGCTCAACAGTTGACGATGGCCCAATATTTTTCGATTGAGCGGAGCTCTTCTGGTGCGTTGGGAGGGTTCTTGTCTTTGGGCACAACCTGCACGTTGTTGGCAGCATACCACTCCATGGACACTCGTTCACGTAAATTTCCTGGTTGACGGTCCCGTTTAAAAATGTAGCTTTTCAATCCACAGGTACCAGATATTTATTAGCAAGCTTCGACAGTTTCATATGCTTGACAATGTCTGTCATCTTTACCCTTCCAGTTGCTGCATACAACTCCTGCCTAAAGAGCCTGAATTTATAAAGAGGCGACGTCTTATCCATTTGACAGGTCTTCTGCTCGATTGGAATGACTTTTCCTATTACTTTGACAGACAATCGATTGTTCCAATTTTTACATGCCGTCTTTTTATAAATTCAGCCTCTTAACTCATGCCCAGGAAGCTGTTTGAAGTCTGCCTTGACGTAGGTTTAGTCGTCTAATTTGGTTTTTCGCGATGCGTTGCTCCTCTTGCTTGGACGCCATTTTGATTACTGAAGAGCAAATTTCAAAATCAAAATAGAGGCATCATTCTGCACACACAGCTACAAAATGAGGGGTGTTCAGGTTTTATTAATGCTCGATTAAAAGAAATGCGTCAAGTTTAAGTCGACCAAATTTTGATTCTAACACCCTTTATGATAACTATAGAAGTTCTACAAGAACACTAAGCTGATTACAGGAAAAACGCTCACATAAGAAGTGTCGAAAGTCAGGAATAAGAAGTAGATTGTTAACGGCATTCGGATATTGATATCAAATTAATGGAATCAATTTTAAACGGTAATCAACTTATATTTTCATCGCCATAAAACACACACACAGAATGGAAACATGACCTTGCACAGCAGTGCTCCATAGTTTTATCGAAGGTAAAGCGAGAATTAAAACACCATGCTGAAGGGAACAGAAAATAAAACAGGGAGAACTGAAACTTCAGTAGCAAAGAATTAAAAATCGAACAATAATGAAGTTTTCTTTCAGAATCACACTTTAAACGATCACCAGTGCTAAGGAAGCTATAGTTTACACAATAGAACACACAGAGGAGAAACAAGATGTTATTATTAACAATAGAAATATTTGCATTGGCTGAAACCTACAGTAGCAACGTTTGATGAAGGTTTGGATTGTTTTTCTTTGGTTTAGCCGCAGCAAATGTAAAAGTAGATAGAAGAATGCAAAATATGACAGGTAACAGAGTACTACCATGAATTTCTCGATTATTTAATGTAACCAACACATTGTTACTATATGGAAAAGGTACAAAAAGCTTATTTTATTACAATAATCGTTTATTGTGTATAATTATAGTTGATACTGTTAAAATATAATAAAAATTATGTTTTCACTAGATTATTCTTTGTTATTGTTTGGTTTTATTGGGTTCGTTTTAGTTCGTACTGATCTGCTGTACAACGTGAATAAACCACATGCATGCGTGTTACACCATTGAACCTGTTTTTGCCTTTATTCACGCCTGCACGCCATTGAATAATATAGTAGAAGAATATCGTGTACATTGAACGTGGCACAATGCACTTGCATGGATGTGTGTGTGTGTATATATATATATATATATATATATATATATATATATATATATATATATTAATAATAATAGAACTAGAGAAAACAAAATAGCGGCTCCATTACACAGGTTAGGCAAATCATAATCAAATGAAACCAAGTTGATTTAATGCAGAGTAAGGAATAGTACAAAGTTTCTAAATGTTAATGGTTAATCAATTCAATACAATTATGTGGCCACATTCAAAATTGTTCAATGTATAAAAAGGCACACCCAAAATAGTCGTTACTTTTGCATCATCTTGCTTGTTACTTGGATCTAGAAGTTACGTTTATTTTGTTGTTGTTGTAAAACTTTGTTATTAGTATCTAAAATGTCTTATTGCGTTTGGATTTAGCTTATATACAATCCGTTGTTTTTCGATCGATTCATTTGTCTTTTTTTTTTCTTCTTTTTAGCTTACATTAGCGCTGTTATTGTTGTTTTGTTATTTTTTGTATATTATCATTTATATGAAAATTCTATCGGGCTAAAACACTTAGGATTGTATGTACAGTGGCAACAACACTGAAGTTTTCCTATCTGTATCAATGGCAAACAGTAGTTTTCATGGTGATTACAGTAAAACGTGTATCAATATAAACAAGGCAAACCAACTACTCACAATATTAAAAATATACTTTACTGCTTCTCTCTTCGAGGATAAGTTTTAACAAGCTCTCATCTATTGCGAAAGTACACATTCTGAGTGACGGGTTCGTTATATAGTCTACTATGTATTGAATTTTTTAATTTATTTTGGTATCACATTCAGGAGTGAAATGCATGAAGTAATTAGAAACCATTACACTAAAATTTGTTTACATTTTGACAGCAATAGGTGAAGCATTTTAGTTTGAAAAGCCGTAGTCAAATTTCAACTGCGGTGGAATGTATGGGATAGCGGAAACCTAACATACTATGGTTTTAGTTTAGTTTGTAAAGACACGGTTGTGCAAGTTTTCCAATATATAAGTCTATTGTGCCTATGGTAAACTTGTTAGCAAAATATAAAATCCAACATAAGCTTCGGTAAATTGCCCTCATAAAACTAAATCTATAATACACAGTTAGAAACCATTGCCAAGAACGTTCAGCGCAAAGTTACCAGATTTAAAACAATCAAATAACAACTATCTCGAACAGAAAGTTAACGACATGTTTTCGCCTGAAAGAAACGTCTAGCGTAGGAATTATGATTTTTTTTGTAACGAAACGAGATCAAGTGGTAATTATGAACATAATCGGCAGAGGATATGGCTTTTGTTGTGGAAAATTTGTCGGACCACGCTTATGCTTTCTATAGGAGTAAAAATGTCTCGATATTTGATTAGAACTTAAATGTGCATCCATGCGTTACTTGGACAATTTGAACATATTGATAATCAATTCTTAACTAAAGACATAACTGGAAATACTTAGCTGAATGAAAATGGTGGATAAAACGAATAAATTTGAATTCCTAAAGCTACACACCATAACCGAAAGATTTGTTATAAAATTAACTAATATTTGAGGCGTATATCACATTGCAAGCTTGGGTTTATCGAAAATCTCGTTAAAATAAATTTGATTATGTACTAACTAATCTGGTCCAGAAAGCACGACTCTCACATTATATTGGGTATTATTTCTGTGATTAGAGGTAAGTGTAGAACAAACAAAAAAAAACACCTTGTAAAACATAGAATTAGATTTGTGACTAAACGAGCAGACATTTTATGATAAGAGGCAGATAAAATTATTTCACTTGACATTATTCGGAAATTGCTTTGCGCTGACAGTGTCTGAACAACATCAGCTCAATATTTGGTTGCAAGAATTAACGAGATACACGGCAAGAGTGATAGGGTCAAATATAGATATGTAGGGGAAAGCAGTCCATAATCCACCCCTGGGATGATAAAATGGCCCCATGTTGTTTTATTACTTTCCCATTTCTAATTCTGGGATTTTATGTGCAGAAATGCTATTTTAAGTAGGGTAGATGTACCAGTCATGGCATACGTTCCTAATATGATGTGTTCCAATTATGGTGCATGGGAGTTCCATAGATCATAATTGGAACACACAATGATAGGCTATGACTGGTAAATCAACCATATACTGAACGTGTGGCTTTTTTAAACCAGCGGAAAATTATGGACTTCCTCTACTTCACTTGTGGAATCGCGGTCGAGTCAAAATCAAACCCAACCTTTGAAGAATAAAACTATTTTCCTGCAAACATTATGAGAAAGATCACCACAAATCGTGCTAACTGGAAATTAAATTGCAAATTCATGTTACGTTTCAGAAATTGAAGGATTTCGGTGATGATAAGAAGGTGTAAACACCTGTGTTTTGAATGGTAAGCCGTAAATATTCGGCCCCGTTCTCCTAACTTTAGTCATATGCAATCTTGTTAATGTGTAATCAAGCATGAGAAAAATCGTTTCAGTTTCCATTTAATACTTACTCACACGCATACAACATCAGAAACAAGTAACGGCTTGTGCTAGCCGCACTGATCGCAGAATTAAGGTAAATGTGGAAATTTGGAAACCTTATTTCTGATTGATCTTACTACACGCTATTTTGAGGCTACTCAGTGACTGGGTAGACCACATTAAATTTTTGCATAATGTATGAAGTTGTCAAAAAATGAGTAAACTGGCTCATGACTCAGATTCTGGGTAAATTATTCTGATAGCAACTTTTCCTATGTTCAAAATGGCGCACAACTTTAAAGTGAACAGACGATGTTTGAGCATGCAGTGAGACAAAAACAATTTTGGGAAGAGGACTACTGTTGGCACATGGAATTTTCAAGGGAGTGGATGGTATGGTAATAATTAACATAATTATTTAGAAAAGCATTTGTTCATATCATTGTTTAGTGCATGTCAAAGGAGATATGCGGATTTTTGCAAACTTACACAGAAAAGGTGTGCAAAATGCGGCAACAACTGATGCAGTAGTATTTTGAGGTTACTCATTTTGGAGTCAAAAATCACTCAGTCCAGCCAGCAGAGAAGTTTCCCAAAAATGGGTAAACATGCTTTTACTCAAATTTGAGTAACCGTGCCTATGGAAGAAACTGGGTAACGGTTACTCAGATGATGACATTATAATGAGAGAGAGAAGGATTAGTATTTTCCATTTAATTCCACCACTTTATTTGCTTATCCTTGACAGATACGCGTATTTCGTCTACAATGTGCAGACTTCTTCAGTGTCTTGTACTAATACTCGACTGTCGAGTATTAGTACAAGACACTAAAGAAGTCTGCACATTGTAGACGAAATACGCGTATCTGTCAAGGATAAGCAAATAAAGTAGTGGAATTAAATGGAAAATACTAATCCTTCTCTCTCTCATTATATAGGTATTCCACTAAGACGCCCACATTCATCAGGATTGATGCCATTATTCAACTGAGTAAACCTTACCCATTTCAATAGAAACGAATGAATGCCCCATATAAATTATTTCGTCCAGGAAGAATATTAAAAAAACATTATGAAAATGATAATTCTGTATCTATTGATACCAATAAACTATTTGTTAGAGTGATATACTTCACTAATTAGCTGCTGATAGCTTTCGCCATCTAGACTATTACATAGCTGCTCCATTTTCACTGCTTCACTTCTAAAAAAATTTTGAACGGTGAGGTATGGGATTGAAATTTTAAAAAGCTTCTTTTTTTCAAACAAACCTTTTTAATATTTTTAAGCGTTTCAAAGCTTCTCTCCATACATCAACGTGATTTTTTTAATCTGCATCTTCAAGCCTTTTTTCAAGGTGACTACGAGAGATGTGAAGATGCATTTTAGGGTGACCAGACAGGTAGATAATACACTACAAAGAGGACGGAGATCAAAGTAGGTGCTTCATGAAAAAAAAAAAAGATTAACGTTTGTTTACGTTTAATAAAACATCAACATTGGATCCCCTCTCCCTAATAATGTAATTTTCTACTTGGCTGGTCACCCTAAAATGCTACGACATTTATGCATCTTTCTTAAGAGGCATGCAACGAGAAACATTGCCAAACATGCAGAACGGTATCTGACTGATTTTTCAACAGTGTTAGCGGCTGCCACATTTTTCTCCGTTAACATCGAATGATTTTGATTTAGAATTGGAAACTGTCATGTCGGTAACAATGCTTCTGGGGATAATAACCTTGACCTGAAACAATTTCAACCTAAACACTTTTCAATATAGCTATATTGCTAAATGAAGTGTAATAATATTTTTATGCAAAGCGATTGAATTATTTTCAATACTGAACATAAAGATTCAACGGCTCTTCAATAACATTTATTTACTTCACTCTTTTAATACCTTCCTTGACAGTAGCTTCACACGTTGAGGAACTCTTATAGGCGTTTAAAACATCGCCTCTTGCCTAAAAGCATCGACTCTGGTCTAGCACTACTTATTATGTCGATACAAGGTCTAATAGGTTTGTTCCCGGGCTTGCTTTTCTGTAAGATTATGTACAGCAAAAAGTAAAATTATGTTCCTGTACTTTCTACACCATATTATTTCCTTACAGTAACTTATATCAAAAGCAAAAAAAAAGTAAGTACAGGAACAGACCTATTATTCCATCGACAAATGTACAGATACAGAGTATCACAAACGAAGTAATAGACGACTGACTGCCCAAGAAATCAATTAAATCCAGGTCTGGACTGAAACTTCCCTAATAAAAGAAATACCATAAACGATCGATAACCCAAATGATGGAGCTATTCCTCAAATACTTTGGATGATAACCTGAGCACGTTACTAACCACACAAATGTTATCAGGGTTGGCTGCTTATAATGAACACCCGATCATTCACACACTCACCGCTTTTTAGTTGTCAGTTCTAGTGCTGATGAATGATTGCCAATATCGAACAGTTAACAGCAAACTTTAATTGAAATCGGAGGAGGTCGAGTCTGGTCAATTCGTCAGTTGGTGCGGAAATGCTCAACACTTTTTGTGACTGTTACAATCAGCAAGTCACCAACAAGCCCACTAATTTCTCTTTTTGCAATAGAATGCTGGTGTACAGCTTACACAATGCTCAGATATAGGGCTTTCGTAGCCGTACACACCAAATTTTGAATCAGCCTTCCAGCAAAACGAATTGCTGAACAGAGTCCAGCAAAATTAAGATTTACTGTGAATCAAGCATACATGTTTGTTTGCTGGATGATCAGTAAAATACGGGAACTGTCAAATAGATCGCAATTTCGTAAGTGGATTCTTTATCGCATGCCTGATCGCAAGTTGATTTTATTTTTTTTATTTTTATTTTATTTTTTATGAATGAATATTTTATTTAGTCTATCAGTATACTCGTAAACCAAGTAAAATTATCGTCGATCATCCACGGAGTAACCCAAGTAGGACGACACATCTAAATCTCAATTCTAGATGCTCAACAAATTTTACACCAGCAAATCAATCTTCTAATGTTGGTCGAGAAATTATTTGTCAAATAGCTTACTTTAAAAAAATTGACGGTAGACCAACAAGCGGATTTCAATCTTCATTTCCTATTAGATGCCAAACTTATCACAACTTTTACATCACATGTATCTATGGTAACATAGTTTTATCTGCCTTTTGATCACAAAATACATAGTTAAAACAGATTTTATCAATACACTATTCTGCTAACGAGACTAAGCTGGAGATTTTTTTATGCAAACAATAGTTGTACCTACATAAGTCTACTAAATATGAACTTTTGCAATCCATTATTCACTGTTAAAGATGGTGTAACAAAACACGGAATGCAATTAATGCGAAAAATTTCCCTATCGAAATTTGACAATTTCTTGTCGGTTAATAATTATCACAAAAAGTTAAAGCCTTTCAAATTAATCCAGTAATGGAAACAATAAATCAATCGAATTTACTTACTGATATGTAACGAGGATTCGGAACAATGATTCACTTCTTCATCCTGGTTTGAATTTGACCGTTTCACAGAGTGCGTTCGATGTCGGTTCGCGCGCTGTTGCTGAGTTGTGTATACTTGTAATGAAACCAAATCGTTTCTAGGTTATGCAATTTTATTAAACCTGATTTTTTTTGTTTATCTTGTGTTACGTTAGTTCCCAATAAGCAAATATTTTTTGACATTAGAAATCTATATTCCTGTATTACTTCAGAGAATTACCACTTATAAGAAATCTAGACAAATTAACTTCACATTTATATATGTTTAAGTCATCCATTTTTCTTTTTTTCTATTTCAATAGCTACATCGCTGAAAAAAAAGTTATAACCTTTTGTTGTTTTGATTAGTGCGTTGTTTGTTCAAATTTCAGAGCTGGTATGAATTTCCTGTAACTATCGAAGTAAAAAATGGCACACAATGCTTTGTAATATGTTTTCTTCTGATACTGCTATTAAAAGTGAGTTCCGGTGGATACGCTTCCGAAGTTTGACACAGTTTAGTAATTAAACAGTACAATCGTTGAAGACCGAAAACAAAGTAGGAAGACACGTTTCCTGGATCAAATTTCGAAAACGTTTCTGGTTGTTGTTAGCTGCATATATTGGTATTGATTTGACTTTTTTTTCCATTACTGCTGGAATTCTTCCAATCTAACCATCGATAATAGTGCGTGGTACTACGCGAGAGGAGACATTTCAAAGCTAAAGAAGGTTTTCATGACAGTTTAGATGTAAGAGGGCTCAGTCGTTGGTTCGATAGTATGAGACTTGTGTTTGTAAGTAGAAACGCTAGGAGAGATTGTATTGGACCGATATATAGTTCAAAACTACGATTACTACTTGTTATCCTTTTTTTTTGTCAGTTTTCAAACATCACAAAATTCGGTTACACATATATAATTCATGTTCAGCAATTTTATCACATTAGGGGAATAGCACACCTCTTATACGTACATATTGGTCAATAACCCTCACTTCGAAGCTAAAAGTATGTCAACGTATAGAATTTATATCTATTAACTGAATGCAAGCGAAGCGAGTGTCAGAATTTCAATTTTATCTTTAGTGTGTGCACTCGAAAAAGATTGTTTAAATCACTAGTTTTTAAAAAATTTATGCTTGTCTAGAAGAATAATCTGACTGCCATGTTCAAATAGATTTAACGCAACTTGCATTAAATCGACCACACAAACAAAAACAAAATAAAAAATTAACAAACTTCTCAACTTTAATCCTAGGAAACACTAAGCTCCTTTATTGCATAAGGTTCAAAATTCTATACCACGTGAAAAAAAATCCTGTATAAAAATAAACAAGCAATTAATTCTCAAATCTACCGGGGAAAAAAGTAATACGGAAAGCACTTTGTCAATTACTAAAATCTACTGGAACAACAATGAAGCACCTTTCAAGATCTTTGGATGAATTGTACCTTCATTGCTTCAACAGCAGATACCCATTGTTTCCAAAACATTCATTTCCTCATGGGTTCGGTCTATACGGTTGAGCGGAGGAAAATTTCCACCAATTGGAATACCACAGCAAGGTTGGAAAAAGTTTGAAAACCTACTAGTAGGTAGGTATGTAGTATGCACGCTAGAAAAGTTGATAGTGAAATGACTACTAACGCTTCAATCACACCGATATATCTGTTTGTTTACTTTTTTGTTTGTTTGTTTGTTTGTTTGCTTACGTTGTCACATGGACTATACATTGAATGGTTACAAAAATAAAGCTAACAGTATGCGTTGTATCATTTCTCACACGATATATTTTGCGATTAGTTGTAGTAGTTGCTTTTCTGTAGCGTTCTTCGAAAATAGAAAAATTTAGAATTTCTATTACTAGGAAGGAAAGATGAATAAATGTTTACTTGTAAGAACCACTTAACACTACTTCTTTGCTCTAAAAATATGGTTCTCAGGGTATAAAATTGCTTTATTGCTACTTGAGAATGTCTTCGAGGCTGGTGCATCATGCTTTAGACGACGATGTTTCGACGTTATTTTTTTTTTCTCCAAATATTTTTCAAATTCATAATGCTCCTTAAAATATTTCCTATTTGTATGCCCGCGAGTGACCTTGCGTTGCATGTTAAACTTCTAACACATACTGTCGTAAACCATGTACGAGTGCATAAACGCTTCTCACAGTAGACCATTAACGTGTAATTTGTTGATTAGGTGCATTCTTAGTCAGTAGATTTCTGAAATGCTTCGATTAACTCGTGTGATAGCCAAAAACTTTACGCGAAACGAAGAAAACGTATACGTAATATTGTTATATTTTGTTCCACAATTCAGCCGCCTATCATTTATGTCCTGTTTTAATGATAGATTAGCTGCTTTGATTTGATATTTTCCTTCTCTTACTACTTAGATGTTTTGCATCCATGTCACAGTACGCAAGCGACGGCATCATTCTATTGTTATCTACCGGAACAGAAGTCGTTAAAAGGATTACAATCTTTCTAACACGGAGGGTAAAGCTTCGGATATTACTAACGGCGTTGGCGGTTCCACCCTGGCTGCTACCGATCAAACTGTGTCTACTGTTCTTCGCTACTCTCAAAGTATTCCGATGCGTTGCCGCGGCAGATAGGGCAAGTTCGATTCGACTGGAATAGTAGGAAATAAAGTTGGATTAAAATGCGATTTGTGGATTGAAGTTTCTAAGCTTATATTGCTGCTTGCATCGAAAATTGGACTACTCCAATAATGAAAAAGTGTAATAAAAGTGCACATGTAGTTTTAAATTATCATCAGGTCTTCAGAGAACTTTTATCACACTTTTTAATTATAAAAAACGCACTTCTTAGTCCAACTTGGTGAAATGCGCAATACTATGTTCTCTATTGTGATGATGTTGGATTATACTAACAAAGCTAAATTTATCTGTTTTAATACAGCAATGGTCTATAACATAAAGTATTGCAGATTTTGATTAGACTCCTGTGCTAAAAATAAGCAAACAGTAACATTGGATATGAAACTGAAATATTGAGCTTCTTATACTTTTCTAGAGCTCGAATTCAATAGTATAGCTATTCAGTACTGTTCTAAAGCTGCTGCTGTCACTTTCAAATAAGTAGATTCTTAAATTCTTTAAATTGTTTAATTTCAGGAGTCTAAAGTGGTACAAAATGCGAAATAAATTCCAACATTATAATTGGTTTCTTTTTAATTATTGTCATTGTACGTCCTGCCCCGATGGTACATTATTAAAAAAAAAAGCAAAAATAAAATGTAATTACTTATTTCACAAAGAATCTAGAAGTGCACCGGGAATAGCTAGGATAGTATTCAATGTGCCTAGCCTTTAACGGATTTGGTGCTTTAAAACCTTTGGAATTGCACACCGAAATTTACATCACATCACCGCTAGAAGAAATACTTTTTGTATCTTGTTTGTGTAAGCCTTTGGAGGATGGACTTAAATATTTGCTTATAATAAAACCTGCGGACTGGTGGACTGTTTGTAAATAAATTTTATCGGCTTTCAGTCTTTTAGCGAGTAAAACGATGTTTTTCCTCTACTCCCAACGTTTCAATGGTATATTCCATCTTTTTCAAGGGATCTATAAAACGAAAACAAACCAAACAAATAGATTGACAAATACCAACCAACTTACACCCAACAGACCCACAAATGTTACCCACTTGACTAGAACGATACAAAATGACGGTTTAAAACCAAAGTGACTAGCGCAAAGAAAGTATAGTGACCGATAGCTCTTCCGTTTTTTTCGTTTTTCCTGTTTGATAGTAATTATGACTATAGAATATGTGTTTTTAGACTCCGACAACTAAATGACTAAATTGATGCAAGATTTCGATCAAGTGACGATAAGCACTGTTAATCACAGACCACCTGACAAAAAACGTTATTTTCTGTAAGTCACCAAACTTGTAAATTGTGAAACATCTTAAGCTATGTAACAATTCTTTGTAGATCCCTTGAAAAAGATGGAATATACCATTGAAACGTTGGGAGTAGAGGAAAAACGTCGTTTTACTCGCTAAAAGACTGAAAGCAGATAACATTTATTTACAAAAACTATGTGTTTCGAAAATCGAAATCTAGCTATAACACCGCAGCGATCTCACTAAAGTTTCACAATTTAAAAAACCTGAATTTATCCACTAATGGTGAGATCTGACCCTTCTTACGTATTGATGTTATGTGTGGCATGATGGGTTTTGTCCCTTGAAAGGAATTGGAAACGACCCAAGGTGTTCCCCGAACATGTTTCAAAATGTCAAAATGTGATCTTGGGTTCTTGATATAACCACAATTGCACTTGTTTTATGATAAATGTTGATCCAAGTTAGAAACTGGACACTTCCCAAGGGTTATACGGAGCATGTCCAGATGTGGTTAATTTGGTCCTGGACGCTCAATATGATTGGAGGTGTAACATTATGGGTTTAACACGATTCCGGCAAATTATAGACTCACGACTCGTATTCACCGGAACGTGTCCCGGCCATTTATCCAGAACCAGTTGTCCGATTTCTAAAATATAAAACAGCGTTCTATGGGCATTCACTATAGTCTTCATCTATGTGATTCCTAATCTTCTATTCGTTGTTTCCTAGTTTGAAGTGGTAAAGACTAGGGTTCTGATGCATGGTTATTATCGGTGTCAATGCATTATTTTGTTGCTAAGGAATCCAATTTTGACTGACAAAGGGGCACGCCTCTGGAGGGTGCTCTCATCCTTTGAAGGGTTCACAGAAAAAAACCCTGAATTTTAAATGGTGAGTAAACATCCATGCATGCACAAATGCATCCATGTAAACTTCCTTTTCACGTAAGCTAGCAACTTGCAAGAAATGTTGCTTACTAAGATGGATGGTTCTAGAATAAGATTTATGACTTGATGTTCCGATCATACCGGTAGAACGCCGATCATGGAGTCCTTTTTGAAAAGGTCATATGTCCATTTGTCGATCAAAAAATCGATTGACTTGATTCGCTTTCTACCGCGAATTAAGCGATGGATTTGTATTATATTGTTATAATACTATAATGTTATAATGTTGAAAACTACCATTAAAAGTTTAAATATTGAATTAGGAAGCATCCCTAATCACGCTTGCAATGCATGTTCCCGCAATGCATTAGAAATAGGAAAAACGAAACAAATGGGAGGAAGGGGGTTGATATTCCAAAAACAATCACGTGACATACTTAATGCATAGGGTAGAGAACCACCGACAAACCGACATGATCCTTAATTCTGACTTATTTCTGAAAATAGTAAACGGCCGATTTAAATATACAGTGATCCAAACTGTCAAAACCATAGGATTTTTTGATCTAGATATAAATAATTTGTCCAGAATAGATCAGGCACGAACCAATTTATAACTTTTGCATGCGAGTTCATGGCTTAGCTAAATATGTCCCGCGAACACAGAGCTAGATGTCAGTAGTGTGCTTTGGTCAGATATTTTATTGTCGGTGAGAGAACTGCTTTGGCCTAATCGTCCATTTTGGGCCTATCGAGAAGAAAACATCAAATAAATCCATGATTTCGGCGTTAACAAGTCAATTATGCGTTTGGTACGATTCTTTAGTTCAAAAACTAACGAACGAAGTCAATAAAAACGCGTGATATGAATGTTTGCACCCATTATTCTCAAAAACAATTCCGATAGGCCGAAGTGAATTCAATGTCGATTCAATGGCGTTTTAATGCATTAAGCCGAATTCAGAATCAGTTTGGAGTCAAAAAGCTGTGTCAGATTTTTTACCAATATTGCAACAATTAGCTACTCTTCCTTCATTAAATATTACGATACGTACGGAAAGGTAGAAGTCATCTGCAACGAAAAAATTCCATCTTGTGAAAAAAAATCCGCTCGAAAAACGGCTCGGTTGTGCTTAGTAGGCTACTCCCTGAAATATTGTACGTAGCATTATCGCGAAAATACCGCACCGGTCAGGGTGAGGGCGGGTTAAGTTGGTAAATTGTTTGATGAACAAATGGACATAGAACCTATTCAAAAATTAATTGAAAGCTTTCTATGTCAATACCAAGGAATGAATCTGAATATTGTGTGGCAAGCACAACGATATCGAGAAAATGAGAAATCGAGAAAATGTCTAACCCGAATGATTTCTGGGATTCGTAATACCGTGCCTTTACTGACTAGGCCATCTGAGGCTCCCAAAGTGAAAGTGAAAACCTTGATTAATCCACCTACCGGTTACAAGTGCTTTCTCGTATAATATTAAATAGCATCAGTACATATTCATATTCCACAGTTGGCCTGCTTATTATGTTGCTGCGCATTCTACCTGCCACATTGGACCTCCCACTCCTCATCCGTCAATGGGACTTAGACCACAGGATTCTCTTTAGTCCTGGGAAGCATCGTTGAAAAGACTTTGGAAGCCCTTGATCTCTCTAACACGGGCCTGCCTATCGCTGCCTGTGCTCTTCACAGATGTTCCGGACCCGTTGTTGGATGTCGAGAGAAGGTCTTCCAACCTGTCTGTTTCAGTCTGTCAGTGCAGTATTGTATGCAGCTCTCTCCCTTCCACCACGACTCCATCGTCCAGTGATGCATTTGAACGGGCTCAATTTGAGATCCGCACTTGCAGTCAAGTAGAATGAACGCCCGTGCTATTCATAAGAAAGAATTCGAGGTGGGTTTGCCTGAACGGAAAATGAACGCTGGGTACCTTTGTGTTGCTATGGTTCGTTTCACTGTTATTTGGTGTCTTCCGATATCCACTTATGGATAGACCTGGTTTGGTATTTTTTGGAAACTATGTAATGCTTCTCGGCAACCACAGAATCTATTTGGACGCAACAGTCGCCAAATAAACCGCCACGGATTTATTGACCATTGAACCGAATAGGATACCACCAAATGGATACTAAGATCATATAAAAAACTTTCTTAAAATTTTTCGAACAGGTCAACTAGTTCGGGAGATATGACCAAGACACGATCCGGTTTGTATGGGCCATGAGACTAAATCTGTCCTAAAACGAATAAATCCCATCATGTAACACCTCAGAATTCAAAATCTAGTTCAAAAGTAGTCATTTAAAGTGGCCACATCTGGTAATGTTTTAAGAACCCCGGAAAGTGGCCAGTTTCTGACTTGGTCAAAATCCATAATGCAATACAGGGGTTGTGCGAATTATAGGGTACTAGCAAAATTTTGTGCAACTTTGGACTGTTGTAACTTCGTTGAATGTTGTTAGATTTTTAATCTTCAAGAAGCATTCGACTGAAAAACTAATCAAATTTCATGGTGTGGCAATGGAAGTGACCATGGTTACCGGATATCGGAGATATTCCGGGTTTCCGGAAAGCATGTCTAAATTGCTAAATTTGTGATAAGTTTTCTCAGGGTGTCCGTAACAAATTTGTGTTTTTTGTTCATACGCCGAAAAAAGAACCATTTTTAAAGCGAATGACGCACCAAAAGCTAAAATTGGCTCAGAATCAACCAAGATATGGCCATTTCCCTGGAATCGATCCTGAGGGAGGGTTCTTAGTTCGGTCTCTTGCCCCATTGCAGTTTCAAAAAAGATTTGAGATGACTTTTTGAAAAAATCGTAAACATCTTTTGACGAGATATAATTTGCATTACATTTCTGCTGTATGAAGGCAATAATATGAAGTTGCAATACGGTGTAGAAACTCCTATAAATATCCACTATTTGGCATATATAGAACGTAAAATTGTTAAGGTGGCACTTTTGCCCCACCCGACCCTAAGTGAGAGTTGACTACTCAAGCCACACACTAGAGTCGGTATATATAATGAGTCACGCCAAGAGAAAAACAGTTGAACTCGCATCACGGTTTTCGAAAGATTCCATTTCTTTTCACTTGGCAACAGAGGACTGCTACATCAGCTTCAAATGACTTCTAGCGAGCAAAAAAATAGCGGCTGTTGTAAATCATTATATCAGTGATTTTGTCCAATCATCTCAATAAAAAATAGTAGAAATTCTCATAACTGATCGTTACCAAACGTATCCCATGACAATTGAATGCTCACTGCGTGTTTATGATCATTTCTTCGATTATATTTTATATTTTATTGCAATACCTTTCGTGGACCTTTCAAAGCATCGTAATGTTTGTTTACTTTGCACGATAGGTAGCCGGTTTGACAGTTCAATAGGTAGACTTGGCTTCACTCTTGGCGTGACTCATTATACACTGACTCTACCACACATATGTTCGATGACAGTTTATGTAACCTTTAAATGACTGGTTTTGGTTGTAAAGCTGATTACTCAACATAATTCTATGAATTTGTGTTACATGAGACTAAACCTTGAATGAAGTCACTGGTGCTAGATTCCCACCCGTTTTTGCATGCAAGTTGATGAAGATGATTTCGGTGGAGGAATCCGAAACGACGATATAATGGAACAAAGTACCGACACGGTCACTTACCCGCAGCCACTTATCAACGCATTTCGCGTGGAATTCATGCGAACACGGTAGCACTCGCAACATTTGACGAGATTCGAAGTCACACATGCACACCACGCAGGATGTTTGATCCCCTAAAACGATAAAACAAATTTCGGTATAATTAAATCCATCGAAAAGCTCCAAACAGTTCAAATTTTGAGACCAAACCTGTATGTGTTTCCGCGTTGAATTTGTAACTAGGCAGCTGATCGATTTCCGGCCGTGCGAGACCACGTGGTTTCGCCTCACCCAGGCGTTCTGCTAAGCTAAGTAACGCTTCGTAGTTCTCCGTTTCGTTAGAGTCGGGTGAGTTGAGGTCCGGCTGTTCATACATCGACAGCGGGAACATGGCTCTGTGAGATAAGAATTGCAATTTGATTTTTATGCTAATGAATACGGTATAGAAGCAGATTGACTTACAAGAAATTTAGCAGAATGCCGGAGTATGCGGACGGTGTAGCCGACAGGGATACCTGCGTTGGCTGTGGAGCTAGCGTTTGATGCTGCAGACTTGGATGGCGATGAGCCGGATGGGCATGTGGATGGGACGGTGGCGGTGGAGCTGGCCAATGGAAGCGGGTAAAGTTCCGGCGTGGAGCGGTGATAGCGCGGCGAGCCGTTCTATGCAGCAGCTCGAATTGGCCCGTGCGTCCCTGGAGAATATTCAACACGGTCGATATTTGGAAAATAATATGAAACATCTGAAACGCCCAATTCCTTTGCTATCTAATATACTTACTTCCGTTGAAATATAGATTGGAGTTGGTGGCGATATCTGAGTCATTTGTGGCGAGGAATGGATATGTGCTGCGGCAAGTGGAGACACATGCAACGGAGAAGCACCAGTATGATCCAGCCCGTCAAGGGATAGCCCATCGGGTCGCTGTCATGGTAAAGGGAGACAATAAGATATCATTCATGTAAGTTAAATATAAGCCCGTTTTTTTCAAAACTCACCTGTTGAGCTAAGTGAGGATGCTGGTAATGAGGCTGATGTGGCTGTGGATGCGGATGGGGATGCGGATGAGGATGTGGATGTGGATGTGGATGTGTATGTGGATGTGGATGTGCATGTGGATGTGGATGTGGATGCGGATGCGGTACTGCAAGAGCAGCAGGTGTAGATGCGAAGGCTCCGAAGTGTCCTCCAATGTTACAGGTTTGAGCAAACGGTTGTGAATAGACTCCATGAACCTTTGGAGAAAACAATTATTTAGTAACGCACAAGATAACATTGTTTGAAAAAATTACTTGGCAAGGTGGTATGTGCGGTGCGGCTGGGTGACCTGAGCAAATCGAGATGTGTGGTCCAGCTGAGTACGTCCACAGTTGCTCATGGTGACCCAATGGAAGGCTAACAGGAACTTGATTGATGTCAACCATCAGTGAGGGATGCTGATGCTGTGGCTGAGGTGGTGACGGTTGTTGGAAAACCTGTGGCATTGCCTCCCAAGGACGTGGCTGTTCACGGAATCTTGGTCTACGGATCGGTGGACTTCCCTGTTGCAATGGCACCAGACCGGGCTGATGCTGAGGCAAGTGCAAATGGTTGTGTTGGTTTTGATGGTGTTGACTCAGATGGGGTGGTTGCTGTAGCTGCAGCTGCTGCTGTGGAGGATGACTGTGATGGTTGCTGTGATGGTTGTTATTGTTCCGAGGTGATCTTCGATGATCCCAAATGGCCGGTGGAGATTGACTAGGCATTCTTGAAACACGACGTCTTTTGCGTGATGGACTATCCGATTTGATTCCGTTGCTTCCGTCGGAGTTGTACGACGGACTTGGTGTTTGGTGGTTGTTCGTATGCGAACTGTTACCCTGATGATATGGCGGACTGATGCGTTCCCTGTTATTCTCACGACTATTTCGCATCGAATCCAACGACAGGACAGACCTTGCATCCAGATGTAGGTCTGACCCTCTGGATGAATTCGAAGGTCCTTCGAAATGATTCTGCAAGGGATTGGGAAGCATTGTTGAAAAAAAAAATCTGTATTTATGTGAATATACATACCGAATGACGATCCAAAGTAGATGCACTATTGGTATGCCGGTTTCTATCCTGCATACTCATGTTATTTCGCCGGTCATTATGGCTTGGTCCAGCTCTAAGAATTTGTTGAGATCTATTATTAACACTACCATCTTCAGTAGCACCGTAAGGCATTAAGATTGGACGATTGGTGATTGGAGGGGAATGTAATTGCATTGGTGGGGATTTTGGTGAGTATGTGAAGGATTCTTTAGGACTACTCCCGTTATTATCACTGCATAGTGGTAGTAGTAGTGGTAGTGGTAGTGGTAGTAGCAGTAGAAGAAAAAGTAGTAGTACGTGTGTATTTTGAACATTTTTTTTTTTGCAATTTATTTACCACAACGGACAAAAAGCATGCGGAAGAAAAATCAAAAAACAATCATATATTAATTAGAAAATAAATTACAGTTACAATAAGCTTATGTATAATATTCGTTGCCTACAAAACTGTTATATGAAGAGATTGGAAACGTTCGATCGAATCGGAAAGCTATTTGTGATATAAAACATGAATGAATGACTAGAGCGAAACGGCAAGATAATATCAATCGACTCGCGACTACGCAACCGTACACCTTAAATGCGGGGTGGTTCGAAGGAAAGCATGAATGTTAGTTGAAGATGTGCAAACATTCTGAACCCATTCAAACGATTACTGTCTACCTTGCGTGGAGCATTATTTATATCACAAATGGCTATCAACCACATAACTATAGAAAAAATTACACCAGATTTATTGATATATGTAAGCGAAAGGACAACATTTGAAGCCAAGTAACAAAAGGAATTGTTTTCCAATTATACCTACACTGGAACATTGGTTTCAAATGTTGTTCACAGAATTCTATTGCTATCGGTTGGGGATAATGTTTTCAGAGATGGACACACAGCATGTGGAAATACGGAGCTAGTTTTGATTTTATTTTAAAACCTCTTATTTCAAACCTTAAACCTGAACATTCATAACGTGGTATTTTGCATATTGTCTTTCTCTGTTGATCACAATATGGCAGTTTATGAGCCTTTCAAATAAACGAACTAGGGTAGATGTACCAATTATGGCTATACGTGGAATACCATAGGCCATAATCGGTACACAGCATAATAGGAACGTATAGCCATAACTGGTACACCTACCCTAGATAAAAATAAATAATATGGCAGTTTGTGGATTTTCAAATGCACAGTGGTGCAGAATGGGATTTAAGTAAGACAAAAGTCCCAGTGGTTTTGTCTTAAGTTTTAAACATTTAGTGACTATTTATGGCTCAAAAAGCTCCTGCTTATGGTTATTCTAAAACATAGGATGGTTCTCAAATAAATTATTAATCAAAAACTAATTTTCTTATTTTTGAAAATATTCGGCAAAGTTTTAATGAGGTGCATCTCAAGACAGAAACATGTTTTTTTCTATCTCTAAATGTTTATATTTTTAAGCCTTATTTTTTAATTGACTGTTCGAGACATCGAATGGGTTATTAGGCAAAAATATTAAATGTTGCTCGCTTTTCAACGTAAGGTCGTAATTTTAGTCGCAAAATGATGAGAATTTTTTCAAGTACTGCAGATTTCATCTGTTTTTGCCGAATGTTTTATTTTAAACTATTTTTAAAGATCTTCAATCCAGGCCATTGTTTTAGATAAATATATAATAATGTTTCCAATATATCAGCAGAGAGATAGCTATCTTGAAAATTTTGCAAAGTCCGAGAGTAATGAAAATTGTTCTCATGAATTCTTTAAGTTCAATAGTTTACTATTCAAATTCAGTATAATGACCCATTCGGTATAACGACCCATTCGGCCTAGTTACCCATTTGGCCTAATGTCATTCGGCCTAAAGGCCCTACACTCTCCACGTTCATGCTGCTATGATCACTTGGATGAAAGGAGAAATGTTACAAACTGCACTCTAGAGTCTTTTGCCGTTTAATCGACTTTCTTTATCTAGCACATGGAAATGAATTTTCCCCATAGTTTGTATCCATACAAACATCTACATTTTTGAAGCTCTAAAATGAACTCGAGTTTTGTTTATTTCATCTAATGTGTTTAACGCATTATTTCTATAATGCCTAGCTAGACTATCAGCACGAAACGAAAATGAAAAAGAAACACGCTTGCTCATCCCTTTCAGTGAAAGTAACGTCGATTTTCGAGTTGAAACGAAATATCACCGTTTTTTTAATTTATTTCATATGCGCTATGTCCTGTTTCGTAATTTTTTTTTTTAGGTAATAATGTTGTTGGGAAATAAATCGAACATCTTACATGTAATCTTCAAGTTTTTTCACATGAACGTCATGAAACCTCGGTTGATGTGTTTCATGAAAAACGAAACTATCAAAGTCGAGCGCTCTTTCAATCGTCCGCTTCACCGAAGCTTGAAATTTGTTTGTAGACGCCGACGGAGGAATGCTGCGAAGATGCTCGACTTCAACAGAAAAAGAAAGCTAGCAGTCTCTTTGTCACATCGATTTTGTCGATAAAAGCTGATATTGTAACGCCCTGATGCAGACCGCTCGCAATTGTTCAATTTAGAGGCCTGTCCAACGTTTTTAAGTCAAGGGCCAAGTGCATATCACCTGGCTGGCCATAAGTTTCAATTTTAAACTGGAGCCGGTTTTTTTTTACACGAATCTTACTCACAGAGTGAGTCACTTTTACTCATTCGTATGGAAAAAAAAATCTTGAAGCGTATGTTACTCATGCGCTGAGTGACCCACGTTACAATAAATTTCCCATACGGATGAGTAAAAGTGACTCACCCGTTGAGTTAGTTTCGTTTTTAATGTACGTTTTAACGTTTTTACAATAGCATTATCTGATTTGGGCCAAAAGTATTCAGTTGTATCCATGCTTGGCATACACAGTTGTACACACCAACTGCTCATTTGCTAATAACTTCGCACACAGTTGACGTAACATAGTAAAAAATCATTGGCGTTGATTCAAATGTTAAGATTTACCTACTCTTTGCATATTTATAGTAAACTATGATCCTAAACTATCAATTACTTTAAATAAAAACAAATTTCAACAACTGAGTGAAAAGTTATTAACAAATGAGCAGTTGGTGTGTACAACTGTGTGTGCCAAGCATGGTTGTATCAATTATTGGTGTAAATCCAGAAAATTAATAAAAATGTGTAAATTTATCGAAGCACGCTAAAATTATAGATCTCAGACATTTTAAAATGTTTAAGCATGTGAATTTATCACTGACCGATCAATCAAGGTTTTTACGCGGTTTCCACATTTTTATAAAATCAGAAATATTTAACTCATTTAACAAGCATTAAAAATTGTTAATTATATACAACAACAAAGAAACGATCTTTAGCAATGTTTTAAAATAAGTCTTTTTATTTATTCTTATTATTGTTTTAAGTTAAGCATGAGTGATTTAATGAGAAACTTGAAATTGTTGGCTGTTCTCCAACACTCGCTGTATATTGATCTCAGAAAATGTTACCGAAATCCGCAAACATGATTCCAAGTGTTTGTTTGATAGAGATGAACGAGAATAGAACAACACGCGGACCGAATGTGAAGATTTTGTCAAAGCTATTCTGATTTATATCTTCTTCTTCTTTGCATTTCAAGCTTATTGCTTATGGCCTATTAGCTTATTTGAGAGCACGCAACTTACTGTTCAAGATGCATTTCTACAGTTATTAATGGAGAGCTTTCGATGAGAGCTTTCTAACCCGAAAAATTCCTGGACTGGACAGGGAATCAAACCCTGCCGCCTCCAGCATGGTCTTGCTTTGTAGCTGCGCCTTTGACGACTGCGCTAAGGGAGACCTGATTTAGATCGCTTTCTCTCTCTGATTGAACGCTCACTATCATAAAACCACTGATTGTGACTCTCTGAAAGTGATATTGACATGTTTGACACATAATGGCATGAGATTAAATCCATGATAATCTACTCAGTAAGCAAAAACAGTTGCTTTTAGGCCACCGAGCCATATCACATAACACCAAGTATGATCGAGTTGCTGCTGTAACGGCCTCTCTTAGCTCAGTCAGTGAAGGCGCAGCTATAAAGCAAGACCATGCTTGAGGTGGTTGGGTTCGATTCCCGGCCCGGTCTAGGAATTTTTCGGGTAGTAAATTTCTCGTCTTCCCTGGGCTGACAAACGATGACGACGAGTGTTATCAATCACACTACTGTATGAGTGCACGCACAAAAAACCGTTCCAATATTCGTGAACAAAATATCATGAGAACCTGAACTGCTTGTTCATATGAATTCAGACTCAGTTCCCGTAAACGTGATCAAGTAGATCGTATTTTCAACAACTTAATCCCAAATCTGTGAACTTAGTTCACGCCTGTTTGGCACTGGTCAAATTCGTAACGCTGCATAAAATACGATGCCATAAACCCATAAATGTGATTTTCGTTCCTGCAATCGTGAACTTGAATCATCAGCTGTCATTTTCAGTGGTTGTTTACTGTTTAATGCCAGCAATACATGCATTTTTGAATTATTGTAAGGTAAGCAATGTGCGAGTAATTAGTTTATCATAGCAGCAAGACGAAATTTTCCGGCAGTTGCAGCAGGGTGACAGTGTAAACCAAAGGTGCTTCTTTCAATTACGGACGACAAGCTGTGGGCGGCAGTATTTTCAGCGGTCGTGACGATAGCAGCGCCTAGTCAACGCAGCCGGTGAAGTAGAGTACTGGGATCCAGCATGACTACGACGCCCACCTCGTCTAGCTCAAGAGTTAATAGTGGAGCTTCCTGTGCAGCCAATTCCGTCACCGTACTTCAGCAGCAGCCCTTATGGTGTTGCTAGAAGTTGATCCAGGAAAACTAGCGGCAGTAGTCCACTGATTTATTCATTTATCGCAGTTTAAGGATCTGCGAACGGAATGTGGAACCCGTATGCTACGGGGTGGTCTTTAAAAAGATTCGGGTTTAGATAAAAAAAAAAAAAAAAAAAAAAATAGAACTCATTAGCCAACGGCTGAAAGTCTCCTTAATAAAGATATAAAAAAAAAAAAAAATATTTCTTCTACATTTCAGGCTTGGATTTGATATCAAATTTCGTTCTGCGCTATCATTTGAAAATTAAAGTCCCAGACAAGTGATACATTGCATTCAAAGTCTATACCAAACACGCCATAAAAAAAAAATTCATTTGAAGATCTCAAAAGCTACTAATATAGATTGTCGGTAATTATTTTTTTAATTTGTACCTCTGTCTCTTTCGTATGCTG